AAAATTCTTTGAATTAACATATTATATTATTTAAATTTTCTCTACTATCTTTTTATATTAATTAACGTATTATCTTATTAGAAATTTGTTTTGATTAGAAATTTATTTGAATTATATTATGAAATATTTGCAAACGACTATTTTTTTCAAGATGTCTTTTTAGTCATTTTACATGCTTAGAAACTAGTTTTTATCAAACATAATTTGTTCATCAGCTAGTTTTTTAACTAACAACTAGTTTATCAACTAAACATAGCCTAATAATATAATTTTTGAAATCTTCAATATATAAACTTGTTGAAATGAATTACTTGGTTGAGGTTCAAGTCTTTATGTTCGTCGACAATAGTACTTGTATGGGTGTTTGAAAAGTCTGGATTTTTTAATATATTGAACTGGAATTTAGGGGTTGTTTGTTTACCTCTTAATAGTCCCATTAAGAGGCAGCCTCTAAATCATTAAGAGGTAAATCTTGTTTGACATAAAAAAAAATATGTCTCTTAATAGTTCCAAAAGGCTCTGAATGATTTTGTATCATAGGCCTCCCTTAACCATTCAGCACCCTAATTTCATTATAAACAATTATCAAACAATTATATTTCATTTTGCACTATATCATGAGAGCCTCTTAATCATTCTGACCACTTAATCATTATGTACCAAATCATTCGGTAATTACCAAACAGCCCCTTAGATAATACGAATGATATGTGGTTATTCTAAGTCTGAATCGAAATTTGGATATAGGGTATTGGTATAATTGTTGTTGGCTATTTATGTAGACAGGCTTTTCACATAAACTTATCCGTTGAAACCGGACCATTACTTTAAAGTAGAGAAGTTGCTACCCTAATACATTAAATTATTTTGTGTATGTAAAGTAAAGTAGCTTTTTGCAAGCAATTTTATGGAAAACAAAGCGTGTACTACTATAGAAGCGAACATAGTGAAAACTCGACTATTGTTGATCCCAATTATCACCCATCCCTATTTCCAAATTTAAAAAAACAAGTAGAATATAAAAGAATACAAAATAAGATTCGAATCATCGATATGGAAAATGACATTAACATCAACGTGTATCATCACATCTAAATCACAACCAAAAGTTGCAAAAAACAATCACCTCGTACCATTGTCGATGCTGCTTTAATAGATCTTGGATTAAATTTTGCTTTTGCTTTTACTTTTGCTTTTTTGCTTTTGCTTTGTGATCAAATGACAATATATTTGGATAAATGACACTAGTATGGGATTAGGAAAAGGGGCTTTAAAGCCAAAGAATACATGAAAATGGGTATGATTTCATTGTGTGTGATTTATGTCTTCTATATGTATATCTAAATATATGCTAATGATTTAGTATTATGCTTCCCTGTCTAGAGTGAAATGAAACTACAGTATCCACAGGACTACCTGCATTACTGGACTTCTAGAGAAATCTCCTCTAACCAGACATGTAATAAGCTAAAGAGGGATTTGGCATGTGATAACTTGTCATCAATAATTAAGTGCCTCAGAAGAAACTCTTCCCATGATAATGAAAGACTCTACAGAAGGTCTTTGTACCAGGTACCAGATTATGGTCAAAATGTCAAATGACGCGTAAACATTTATGGGATGAAGTCAAAAGTTGACTTAAATCATGGACTAAGATTGTCAAGTGTTCTAAGTATTCCAGTTACACGTCATAACGAATTCCCTGATAAGTTTACTGTAACTTATTGACATAAAATTACATCCAAATGGCTTACTAAGATCTAATTTTGTGTGGGTGGGTGTGCATGTGTACATGTTGCATCCAACACCAAGATCTAACTAAACAAGCATATATAGTTATTATGTGGATGTTGAACTCTTTTTTATGCAAACCAGAACAAACTGTTATCAAATTAGATTGTGGAAAAGACATACCAGTGCGTAATTTACTGCACGCAAGCAATCATTCGTCTCCAACATTACAAGGATGAGACAGTTTATGCAAAAGCTCTGTGATTTCGGAATATAGAGAGAAGCGTACATCTGCAAAACAAGACATAAGTGTAAGTATGGAAAGACAAATATTAAGTCCAAATTAAAACAATGAAAGCGGAAAGCTACATCTGATTTGATGAAGTGACTTTTAATAATGTTAAGCTCACCTGAAGTTCTAAATGGTCACTGGCACTGCCTTGCAGTGCCAGATGATCTACAGCCGGATCAATAACCTTATTCCAAGGCCTCATAGTTTGCTTATGACTGATAACCGCTATTATTGAACCCATAATTTCCACCGCTAGTTTGCTTATGACCAATACCCGTTATTGCACTACGATTAAGTCGCAATTAACAACATAACCTGAAAACATAGTTGAAATGGTGCTTTAAGACTCGGGGTGGATGTTGGAATATCTATACTATATTATATAGCATTTGACAAGAACTCTTAAAAATCAGTTTTTATGCACCAAATACTGTTTATTGATGCATAATACTTAATATTCAATATTACAATTAAGTTGTGCGTAAATACAACTTTTATAAAACTTCATATTTGAATTCGTGTAAATAATTGCAGATAAACATAATTAAATACATGATAAGCATATCATTTTAAATATAAAAAATCTAATATATATTTAACAGAATATTTAATTATTATCCTTATAAAAATTATATTATTAAACCTTTTACTTCGTTACTAAACCTAAATTAAATTATAATAAAAAATTTGAACTAAAGAAATTACACAAAAAACAAAAAAATTTAAATAGTTAATTTGATACTAATATCGATATATTATTTTTCAAATTTTTATGATATTTTCAAATTTATATTTTATTCAAAAATAAAAAAAACATTATCGATTTCTCAAACTCATATAAAACCATTTCGACGTAAAAAAGAATAAAACGAAACATTAAAATCGAGATATGTTTCGATGTATTGTACGAGTACCATTATAATATGTTTTTTAATTATTTAAGCCCTTTGGATTCTTAATTTTCATGTGCGATGTTGATTTTTCTTTTGCATTTTCTTAAATTGAGTTGCATGTAAACTACAATTTTAGTCCCTGTGGTTTGTTAAAAATTACAATTTTAGTCTTTGTGGTTTGTTAAAAATTATAATTTTAGTCCCTGTGGTTTGTTTATTACACCGATGGTTCCTATGATCTATGAATCCTATTGGTTTGGTCCTTGTGATAGACGCCATTAAAAAAAGTCCATTAACCCAACGACATTTCCGTCTTTTACAATTTTCTCTCACTTTTTAATAAAAACATAAAAAATTATATCGTTAACTTTAAGCCAATGGACAGATTAAGTCGAACTTTCATTGACAATTGACATGTTCCAAACTTAAAGGCCGAAGGCTTGCATGACAAATGAATATTGTTTATTATTGTCATAAAAGCAATGGGAAAAAAAAAAGAACGGGGATAGGTTCTTGAATTGAATGTTGTTGATTTTTCCAAGGCATTTCAACTTGTGACCCTTCTAGATACCCCATTTGATCTCCCAGAAGCGGAAGCTGAATCGGTTATAGGGTATAATGTAGAATATGTGTGGGATGCGATCCTTAATAGTTCACGGTAAAGAAGGATTTGGCATGTTATCAATACATGCAGCAATGATATGTTACTCTCACATCATATGGCATCCCTTTAATACCCCAATATTGTTCATACAACAAAATAAAATGCAAAACAACATATATAATTGAAAACATCTAGCTCCACCCCAAACTTCTCTACCTGCATCACAAAATTTTAAAAATAAACAAAAAGGGTAAGGCATTTGGTGAAATAACAAAGAAAAAAAACACTTGCCATCATTTTCCGATATATACATATCTTCTCTTGTTTGGGCTTGTCTGCACCATATGCTCTATGTCATCAACAATAGCATTGAACCACTTTGGCTTTCCCGTCGACAACATGAGATATCCCAACACCAATCCAATTATGGTTCCACATCCAGATCCCAACATCACCACTTCCCATGTAAACCCACTCTCCTCATCTTCATCAACTTCAAGTTGTGAGGTGCTCACATGTTCACAATGCTTGGGCAGAGGAAACCCACAGAGTCGTGGATTCCCTCCAAATGAAGTGCTAAATGTGTTGAATTATGTTCCGCTTGGAATACGACCCATGAGATGGTTTTGTGAGAGATTTAAGACTGCAAGATCCGTGATATCTGCAAGACTTTGAGGGATATGTCCTGTTAGCCAGTTCCAAGACAGGTCTAGTGACTCGATCTCCGAGAGATTTCCTAGAGCATATGGGATTCGACCACGGAGGTGATTGTGGGATAAGTTAAGCACTTTCAAAGAGTTAAGATAACAAATGACATCTGGAATCTCCCCTTCAAATATGTTATTGGATAGATCAACAATCGTGTAGTCAACAAGAATTTGGGGAAACGAGAGTAGCACACCTTTCACCGCAACAACAATTGAGTAAAACTTGCCATAACCAGGGGTCATATATTCAGGTTTTGAGTCTTTCTTTACCACATTCTTCATGGCATCAAAATTTTGAAAAAAAAATCCAGGGAGATGGCCTACAAACTCATTTTGAGACAAATCAAGGATTTTGAGACTAGGAAATGGGTGTTGAATCATAGAAAGTCTTCCATGGAACTTGTTTGATTTGAGGACAAGAACCTGCAAATGTGAAAGATGTGAGGACCAGTGAAGGAATGTACCATTTAAGTGGTTGTTTCCCAAATCAAGCACCTTTAAGGATTGACATTTCGACAACCAACTCGGAACCTCTCCTTCTAACTGATTTCCATTCAAAATAAGCCCTTCTAATTGTCCACAATCCTTGTATGCGTATGGAATGGTACCATGAAAATGATTGTTCCCCATATGTATCATCTTAAGAGTTGTGATGATTTTACCCAAGCATTGTGGAATCACTCCACTAAAGCTATTATTTGACATATCTAAATACTTTAGCTTGCTCATATTGCAAATCGATCGAGGGAATGTCTCCTGAATCAAGTTGGACTGCACAGAGAAATATTCTAATCCATTCCACTGAAATTGTGGCAAACCTGTTATCAAGTTATGTGAAAGATCCAAATACACCAACTCATTTCCTCCCATCACCCCTGCCCATTCAGGAATGTGGCCACTGATTTCATTGTTAGATAGATCTAAATGTTCAAGATATTTCATGGCTCCTAAGAACTTTGGGAACACCTTTAGCTTGCAAGATGCCAAAGATAAGACGGAGAAATTAGGGTTAATGAAATGAGTATCATTGTTGGTCACAACAGATAAGCCACTGTAAGAAAGACCAAGTTTTTCAAGGTTTGTGAGGCTTGATAACAATGTATCCAAATCCCATACACCGGTAAAATTGTTATATGAGAGGTTAATGCGAGTGAGGTTGACGAGTTGTCGAAGTATTTGCATAAAGGAGCCTTGATCAAGCACATTAATATCCCCAACAAATTGATTATGCTCAAGGGCTAATCTCTTCAATGATCGTATGGCAAATAATTCTGATGGTAAGCTCCCACTGAATATGTTGCGTTGGAGATAAAGAGCTTCTAGGAAAGGAAGGGTGGATAACGAAGAAGGCAATGTTCCATTAAGCTTGTTAGATGATAAATCTAGCCTAGTAAGGTTCCTAAGGTTAAAGAGGGATTTGGGAAAGGGACCCATCAAACCACAAGAATTGAGTAGCAAGGTGTTCAAAGACTTGAGATGGCAAAATGATTTGGGTAATTCTCTTGATAACTTGATGTACGAGAGATCCAAGTAATTCAAAGACTTGAGATGGCTGATTGAGTCGAGGATTTCTCCTGATAAGTTGGTGTGAGAGAGAACCAAGTGATTTAAAGACTTGAGATGGCTAATTGATTTGGGTATTTCACCGGATAAGTTGGTGTATGAGAGATCTAACCACTTGAGGGGGATGCTAATACTCGTGTTAACTTTAGGAAACCGATCAACGAGGTCATTGAAGGACATATCTAGTTCTTCCAAATAGGGAAGATTGAAGATATTTTCAGGTAGTTTCCCTCGCAAATTGGTGTACTTAAGCTTGAGAGATTTCAGAAAAGAGGTATTAATATAAGTAGGTAAAGTTGACGAGATATTGACACCTCTAAGTGAAAGCTTTTCCAAACTAGTAAAATTGTGGAGGAGATTATAGAAAACCTGAGGTTGAAGCTTCAAATCATTCCAAGAGAGATCAAGAGACATCAATTTACCAAGAAGTATGACATCTGCAGGAACTTGGCCTATAAACCCACAATAACATACGTTGAAATGTGTGATACTATTAGAAAACCTTCCAATCTCACGTGGAAGTTGGGAACCATTAAGATTATTGAAAGCAAGGTTGAGTCTTTGGAGGTGAGGAAGGTTGAAAAGGGTGGAGTTAGGGTAGATGGTACCTTGTAGCATGCCACAACTAAGGTTGAGAGCAATGACATCACCAGTGAAGTGGTCACAAGTGACACCATCCCAATTACAACAGTCAATACCCATCTTCCAATTCATCATAATTGGATAATAGTCAGAACCAAGCCTACCATGACAATAGGACTCATGAAGATCGTGTTTATCATGATACAAGTGATTATTGGAGAAAACGTTTTGTTTAAAAAGAAGCAAAGCATGAGTTTGTATGGCAGAGCATAAATGAGTGTTATTGGAAGAGGAATAAGCAAATGAGATGAAGAGAAACAAGGAGAGAAAGCTCAACTTTGAATCACTCATTATATTTGATTGCATGTGTGTAGTTGTAGTTTGTTCATTGCTATATAAACAACTAATTCTAGAACATACACATTTAATATTATTACATTTTAAATAAAATTAATATTATATCAGTTATTTTATAGATTTTGGATATTGTCCTACAAACATATATATCTTTTTATATATAGATACAAATGTTGCCATATAAAATAGCTAACATGACATCTTATTTAAAAATGTTCTGAAAAACTTCCTATAAACAAACTGTAACATTTCTAGATACGACTTTTTATTGTTTAGTCCTATAAAAGATTCTAGTAGAACATTTATACATTTTTAGTGTCCTATAAATCCAATTTTATTGTAGTGCCTATATGCTTATACCCTAGTGTCGCAAAGACGGTAAGGGGTGTCGTGCGCACTCGATGGTGACTGTAAAATAACAGTCCCCATGTGTATGAATACAAGTTTTGCAGTTGGTTGGGATATCAAGTCTTTGTGGTCCAAAACAATAATACTTGTACATATGTCCAAAATTTATGATTCTAAAGAGAAAGATCGAAATATCAAAGTAACCACTTCCTCTATGCCGTAAAAGAATAGATTTGTTTTATTTTTAGTTGTTTCGTAAAAGAAATTTTTGTTACTCTGATAAGAAAATTTACCTAAGTATCCGTTTACAAGATATTATTAGCATTTATATTCATATTTACGTGTTCTGTTACTATCACATAGCACTTGGCATCGTAGAGGCCATGGACTTTAATTTTCATGTTACTTTGTTGGAAGTTTCGAAATTTAACTGATGTAATGAAAAAATAAGATGGGTGATGAAAACTTCCTCCAAAGAAATTGATTGAATTTAAGTCTTCGAAAAGTCAATTGAATTTAAGTCTTCGAAAAGTCACGATGATAATACTTTTGAGTCTGAAACTTCAAACCTGTATAGTGATTTATTATGCTTGTTCCAACTTGCAAGTCTTTGAATAGGAATTAGAGGTGGGGTGCTATTGTATTGATGACTCTACAAAGTGAAAAGAAAAAGTTATTACACTACTTTAAATTAATAAAATTAAGGTTTTAGTCGGCTAAAATCGATCATCATCATCCCGATTTAGAGGTAAGTAGTGTGCGTTAAAAACATTACCTTGGACATCATAATGTGTTTTGAAGACTTTTTCAATTAAAGATTTGACGAATGAAATGGGGTTCTCCGTCGAGCATAATTCAACAGGGTATTTTGAATTCAACCATAATTTATTTTCTTCATGTGTTATGATACTCGAGGTATGCATGAATTATATGGGGAAAGTGAAAAGGATATGATGCAGACGTGCTTTTCGTGGGTAAGTTTTCAAGAAATGTACAAATTTTGATGCACGGGATACAAGCAGTTATTTCTTTATAGCAGTAAACAACCTTTGAGCTATCTGCATCAAGAAGGCACTAGTTAAACAACCTTTGAGCATTTTGCATCAAGATACTACAAAGATGATAACAGCAAGAGAAGATGTTAGACCCCATAACTCTTATTATAAAAGTAATGAAAAATATACAAGTATAGAAGTGAAGAGGATCGATGGAAGAAAAGCTGGAAGAAATCCTAAGTGTACAAAACCAACCAGAGATGCGATGAAGGGTCCATAGGTGCGATGAACAATGCATCTCCATCACCCCTCTGGTCATTAACACTTAGAGGATTCAACAACTGTTCAATCAGAGATATCCAAGCAAGAAGATTCGTAAGAAACTCCTGATTGAACATGCTTCCTAGAAGACAACTAAAGATGACTTATCGACAGCTGAATTTCTATTTCGCTAAGTAGATTGAGATAATTTCCAGATTTCTAGATAGATATCTTTTCCCTAGATAGTTATCTCTTAAAATAGATTGCTAGTATAAATATCTTTTATATTTCTTGTAATCATTGTCGCTCCTTCTCGTCAAAGCAATAATAGTGATCAGATCTTTGAAGCTTCATAATTCTCTTAAATATTCTTAAGCTGTTCTACACTATTATTCATCCATACGATAGATTTAGGTTCTTCATAACATAAATCTCCGTGTTATTGAAAGATATGGGTTCAACAGAAGAACATAACAGAACTTTCATATTTTTCAACAAAAGGCTTGAGACCAGCCATGACCATGCATGACTCGTTGGACTTGGCAAAGGACTAGTTCACCTCCACTTAAGGACCCTGACATGGTTTTCATGCTCTCGAACCACTAACTACATGAGTTAAGGACCGGTAATCCCAGGGACCATCAAGTCGGTAATACAACATCAGAAACATGTTAATGCTTCATAATTTCAACCCAAGAACATATTAGTTACAGTCCTAAGGGGCCATGTGTCTCTATAGATATATTGACATTACAACAAAATTTATATTCTAAAACAAACTAACACAATATATCTCACTCAAAAGTAAAGTCTAGAAGGTGGAATGTATACAAACATGTACATAAAACAAAAAGATAAAGAGAATTATAAAAAAAATGGTTTACAATGATAAAAAGGTTAAATGTATGAAATAACAACCTACTTTCATAAAATTTCTTATTATAACATTATACTTTTGTTTTTCTTTATTACACAACAGTTGGGGGCTTAATGAAGTTGGTTTTATATTATTGTCTATTTATACAAAATTTACAGACTTTTGATGAAGTTGGTTGGGATTTTAACTCTTTATGGTCCATAGCAATAATGCTTGTATGTATGTTCAACTTGTGTAGTGATTTATTATGGTGGTTCAAGCATTTGAATAGGAATTTGGAGGTGGGGTGTTATTGTATTGATGACTCTACAAAGTGAAAAAGAAAAAAAGTTATTACACTACTTAGGGGTGAAGGATATAGCTGAATTGGGACAGCTATTTTTGCAAAGATGTAGCAACTAGTATTAACTAAAAGGCATTACTTTAAGACATCATAATCTGTTTCTAAGAATTCTGTTTAAATGCTTTATCATACATTATAGATATAGATTTATAGTAGCTTTCGTTATGTTTTTGGAGCAGTTGGCAACCTTTTGAGCTATTTGCATCAAGAAGGGTGAAATACTACAAAGATGATGACAACAAGAGAAGAACAAAACAGGACTTCATGGACTTCTGAACGAAAGGCTCGAGACCACCCATGACCAAGACTCGTTGGAATTGGCAAAGGAACTAGTTTTTTTCATGCACTCGAACCACGACCTACATGGTTTAAGGACCGGTAGTCTTAGGGATCATCAAGTCAGTAATACAACATCGAAAACATGTTAATGCTTCATAATCTCAACCCAAGAATATATTAGTTACAGACATTGGCCATATGTGTCTCTATAGATATATTGACATTTCAAAATTTATATTCTAAATCAAACTAACACAATGTATCCCACTCAAAAGTGAGGTCTCAAAGGTGAGGAGTACACAAACATGTCCTTCACCGCAAAACATAAAACAATTGTTTCTGCGAAAACTCTCAGCTTGTGCAAAAAGGGTGAGCGGAAAAGTAAGAAGCAAGACCAGTAGATACGAGGCAATAAAAAAAGTATGGAATATATCAATAACATAGATGTATATGTGTCAATACAGTTGCCTAACTTATTGGATATCTCAAAGTAGTATGGACTAGGAACAAGGGGTTCAAAGCCAAAGAATACCCTAAAACGAGTTAAAAATTGAAGTATTGAACACCAAATGATTTCCTTGGGTGTGATTTATATCTTCTATATGTATATCTAAATATATGCTAATGATTTAGTATTGTGCTTCCCTGTCAAGAGTGTGAAAGCACCACGAAACTGCAGTATCCACAAGGCTACTTGCATTATGCCAAACCGGACTTCTAGCGAAATCTCCTCCAACCAGATACGTAATAAGCTAAAGAGGGATTTGGCATGTGATAACTTCTCATCAATAAGTGCCTCAGAAGAAACTCTTCCAATGATAATGAAAGACTCTACAGAAGATCTTTGTACCTGGTACCAGATTATGATCAAAATGTCAAATGACCCATAAACATTCATGGGATAAGATCAAAAGTTGACCTAAATGATGGACTAAGGCCGTCAAATGTTCAAGTATTCCAGTTACATGTGAAAACGAATTCCCTGATAAGCTTACTGCAACTTATTGACACAAAAATTACATCCAAATGGCTTTACTAAGATCTAATTTAGTATGGGTGGGTATGCATGTGAATAGGTTGCATCCAGCACGGATATCTAACTACATGAGGTGGATGCTGAACTCTTTTTTATGCAGACCAGAACAGACAACTATCAAATTAAATTGCAGAAAGACATACCAGTGCGTTATTTACTGCACGCAAGCAATCATTCGTCTTCAACATTAAAAGGATGACACGAGGCAGTTTATGCAGAAGCTCTGTGATTTGAGGAAAATAGAGGGAAGCATACATCTGTGAAACAAGACATACATTATAGGTCAACAACAAAGCAACACTCCAGATGCAAACAACTTTGTCACTCATTCATAGAACATAATAAGAGAAAGAGAGAGAGAGAGAGAGAGAGAGAGAGAGAGAGAGAGGTAACACCCCCTTCCCAAGATGGAAAAGGAGGCAACATCCAAATCTAAGAAAAATCACCAAAACATGTGCAGAGCATAAATCAACCAATACTCAAAATAAAAACCACCAGGTAAATTAAAGGATTTCAAATTTCACCCAAAAGATATAAACTAAAGTGACATAATATGCAGCATTTGCAGTTCAAACAGTTGGTATGGTAAATCTACATGTGCTCTTTAAGTGGACGATTATTCAATTTAAGGGACATGGAAAGACCAATATTGAGTCCAAAAACAATGAAAATGGAAAGCTTCATCTGATTTGATGAAGTGGCCTTTAATAATGTAAGTTCACCTGAAGTTCTGACTGATCACTGGTATTGCCTTGTATAGCCAGATGATCAACAGCAGGATCAATAACCCTATTCCAAGGCCTCATAGTAAGAATCCCTGCAAAGAGTGCGTACAGATCCTCTCCAGCGCCCAATTTCATACAATTTTCCTTTATTGCATTGGCATCAGCCAGTACCAAAGCCTGTAAGGAAGTCCCATGGTTCAGTTGTTAATGATGACAAATAGAACGGCAGCATGCAGAATGAGCAGACAACTGGCAGAAAAAGGTAACTTTAGAGAAGTCTATGCTAAAGTGGACATGAAAAAAGGTACAAACAGATGACATAAAAAGGCCCTTAACATTCAAGAAATTGAAAGGTGCACCTTCCAGAGAGCAGCATAGTTGGTCCTGGTAGAAATGTCGAGTTCTTTGTACAGACCATGGTCCAGCAGTACCAATTGTGGTTTTTTTCTCCCTGTATACAAAGAAACAGCACCAATGATGAAGATACATTTGCATGCAGGAAAATAATGGAAAAATTACATGTAAAGAAATCAGTAGAGGCTGGTGATGACAAAGAGGCTGGAATCACATGCAGCTGTTAGTTAGCATGTCTATCATCCCATACATACATGTCCAAGGGTCAAGACTATAGACTCACAAAGAACAAGTTTTCCCTATAGACTACAGTAATATACTCCCTGATTTCCTAACACCCTAACCAACTTGGGACTTATTTTCAATCTTCTTCAATGACCCAGTCAATGCCACGATCATATCACAATACCATAGCATATTCCAAATTAGAGGTTTCTTGATTTATTGTCCAAGGCCCTAAATGTATTCTCCATATTCTCGATGGTGTTTTAACTAGAAATCATGTTTTTCGAGTATTATGCACATGTCTTCATGGTACTGGAGCCCCAAGGCTCACAATACAAACCCAAATCAGCCACTTTACTTCTTCATGTCCAGTCACAATAATTGTAGCTTTAAATATTTTATATTTATTGATGATTACTCTAAAATTACATGGCTTTGTTTACCCACAACCCCGCGTTGAGATCTTCTCTTTTTAGTGGCATTTTGTGCTTGCATTCAAAATCAACTTGGTGTAAAACCTAAAGCTCCTCGCAAAGATAGCACGAAAGAGCATCTTTTAAATTAAATTACAAGGTTCATGGACAAACTTGGAATTTTACAAAAAACCTCCAGGGTTTACACTCCACAACATGGAGTGGTTGAGTGAAAGAAATAGATACTTGTTAGAAATCACTTGAACTTTGATTTTCATCACATTATTCTTTAGAAATTTTTGGCGGATGATGTTCATGACATTGTAGCATGTATATGGATTTCCTTCATTAAATTAAATCCTGATGGCCTTATGGCACGTCTCAAAGATTGTCTAGTAGCTAAAGGCTACTCCCAGTCCCAGATCTATCATAAAGACTATGTACTACGACAATCAACCGACTATGCACATCTCAAAGACCCGATTTTCCATGAACAAAAAAGCATAACAAGATTGATTGCCACTTTATTCGTGAAATAGCAGTTGGAACATCTGGTGAGCACCTATCAATTAGAAGAATTTTGGAACTGTTCGGAACAAGTTGCTGATATATTGACAACAAGCTATGCATATTAGCCTTGCATGCGACAAGTTGGTCCAAGGGTCCAACTGGAGGAGTATTAGACTCAAGTTAAAGTCTGTGATTGTCATATTTAGGCATGTTTAAACTAGGGTATATCTTGATTCAACCCTCGGCAACGTATAATATGTATTCTATATATCCTACTTCTGTCTTGATAAGAAACCATACTTTCTGAGTATGAGATACTGTCTTCAGGACCTTATATGAATCACAAGGTACATTTTTAAGGATATGATATGTATGTCATGGAATTAAAAAATGGAGCAAGATTAGCACATATATTAGGATTATGAATGTATGGAATTCTATTGGAAAACAAAGCAAGCTTGGCTAATGTTGCAATCTCACAAGCCCCAATCCCATACTATCAACGCATTTCATGAAACAAAAGCTGACTATAGCTATTGAAAGAAGGTAGAACCATCTCAAGCTTATAAACAACATGGTACTTTAAAATTTTAAATTAAGCTTCAAAGTGTAGATCTCTGTTCTTCGTCATGCAATTTGCCAAATCGAAGCCCTGTCACAAGGAATCAGGTTTTTCTATAAATCTTTTATGAGCAATACATGTCATCGTAAAACCGCATTTGCTTTATTCAGAGGGAGAAATAAATAAAATCCTATTGTCGACACTAGTTTCCTTCCATACCAAATTAACATCACAAAGAAACCCATGCATGTAAAAGAAACTAGATAAGATTAGAAGATCTTAAATAAAAACAAAGAATAACAAGATATGATCCTAAGTATTAGATGCCTTACCAAGAATGCCACGTCTCTGAGAAGGCATTGTACGAACTAGCAAGTTAGCAGCATGTGGATCACAGTGCACAAATCCATGTTTGAACATCATTTCAGCGAATGTTTTACTGACCTGTGTTGTGTAAAACAAAGCTATTACAATAAATTTTCAACAACCAAGCAGCATGAAATATAAATTTGATATTAGGTACAGACATGACAAACAAACGAAGCAATTGAAAGCATAATAGACAGCCTCAAAATTACATAGCCCAATGACAAGGTACGGGAAAACAAAAAATAACAAGAACCATGCACATGTTCCATTTAAAAGAGTACCATCCTGGCAATTTGCAGTACAGAGAAAATGAACTTACTAGCCTTGCAATGTCATGTGGTGCGATTCCAAGTTCTTGGATACACTTCAAATCATTCACTTGTGCACCGTCCACGAACTCCATGGTCAACACTTTTGTGGTACTTAGGTTCCAATATACCGCAGGGGCATAAACATAGTCTGCAATATGAGGAGATAACCTTCGAAAGTTATCCATACATTTTATGCTGTTCTTGGCCTCAATTAAGAAATCTAGTTCCTGATAACCATCATTGGAGCTTAATTAACAAAAAATCTATAAAAGAATACACAGATTCCTATATCAGAACAGCATGCATAGACACCAAAACATAATGGGAAAAATCCTCGCATAGACCAAAATGATAGGTAGACCTAATATGCTGAAGAAACAAATTGAGCAGGAAGATTTAAGTTACTGAAGAGGCCAGGTTTCAGGCTGTCACTAATTAAGGAGACAGTTTCACATTTGGATGTGTTGTGAATGTGATTATTCTGGCTTAAAGTCACAATAATCGATTTTGCAATGTTTGACAAAACTGATGTTTGATTTTCTGATTTTTTTAGGGCCAAAAATATAATTACCGGAAGCAGGTACACAGTTGCTCCAAGAAAACTTTTTTCAGGGCAAATATAAATTTACCCAACTATCTCTAACTTTAGTTGAATCATTTTCTGATTATTTGATTCTGATTCTTTAAGTCCCAATAATCAATTGAAAACGCACAACCAAACACCCCGAAGTAACAATTATATAATTTGAAATGGTAGCACTTCAACAGAGTCTGAAGCAAGAATAAGTTTAATAGAGATCCAGGGTTTCATTCCGTTAACTTGGAATGGTTAAGTAACAGATTTTGTGATCTGGAATATAGGAACCTCAACAGAGTTTGGGACAGAGCATTGCTCAGCAGAGCTATCATAATTCGCAGGTTTTTTCCATCATTGAGGGTCTTAGTTGTTTATCTTAACTAAAAGGATATTAGTGCCTTTTAAGTATGATGTTCAGATGTTGGACAATTATGTGTAAGTGCTGTGTATGTATATTATCATATTGGTTTCATTCTAGAAACCCAAAGTCATATGCATGTTCCAGTACGAGACTTAGGATTTGAGTAACGGCTATGAAGATGTATTCTTAGTGTTAGTTTAAAGAAATAGATATCCTTTGATTCAATTGTACAGATCTGTGAGAATTCAAAAAAATATTAAATGTATATATGTCAATTTATGAGCAACACATTGGAAGTGAGATTTACAAAATCATTTCATACTGGAAGATTACGACTCGTTCATATTTTTGCAGAAGTTAAAAAAAATTGTTAAGAGTTTGATCAAGTCAAACTGTAACATGAAGCCATGATCTAGAAATTGCATTTTGGTAGGATGTGACAAGAAAATTTTGATAGAAAGAAAGCTTAATGACAAAAGAAAGAAGAAATAAATAAGTAATAGTTGAAAATATCAAGGGAGAGGAGGTAAAGGCGGCCATGCAATTCCCCTGTAAGGCTATAAATACAGCATTATTTTACTTTTGAGCTCAAAGTTTATGTTGGACTTTTCGTATTCAAGTTCTTTTGAGTGTACGTCATTCATTTTTATAAGCTAATTACGTAGGTTGTTATGGTGTTCAATTTTGTGGTATCATCAAAAGATATGAACTTTGTTCTCATTTAAACCAACATCACGAAACTGATAATACATTATCGGATATTCACTTTGGTTAAAACTATTTGTTACCAAGTCAAACAGAAAACAAGTTCAGTCTCATGTCATCTAGGGGTGTGTTACGTGTACTCTTCCATCATTGGTGCTTCTTGCGATAAACCTTGGCAAAAGAGGATGATGGCCAAGATGGTGAATTTTTATTGTGTTTATTGGCTGACTCATATTTCTTCTTATTGGTTCCTAAGCCTTTGTTTTGCTTTTTAGTGTTCAGCAGCATCACATTTTATTGTCTTTCAGAAATATGGTTATTACTATTACACTTTGTATATTAGTTTTATCAAGTCCGTATACAAGTTAATATTCTATCTTATCATTGCATTTCATTTCATTTATATTTGTGTGTTGCCCACTGGCATAGCACAATATGTCCAAGAGCAAGGTACATTTTATGTGTTGGCATTGGAGTAGTTGGACTACATTTTACGATCACGGCCTTAGTTTCATGCATAATTGTGGATCCTTTGCAACTGAACCATGGGCCTTCTTAGAGACAACCCCTTAAGATATAGAAGTATTGTACATTTTATAGATGTGTGGATATTTGATGACCATATATCACACTACTTCTCTCAAAGTCAGCTCCGGGTGTTCATTGTGGGGTTTTGATGCACTTATGCCTTTAGAAAAAGAATATATGTTACAAAAAGCGGATTCCTTTTACTATGTGGAACCCACATTATGGGTCAATGGTTGTGAGGAATTGAAGGCGTAAGAATTATGTAAAGAAACACAGAAGATCAGACTGTTAAAAGATCATGGCATGCCTATTCAAGATACAGCAGGATATCATGACGATTTGAGAAGGAATAAGGTCAAAACATTTGCATCTAACCTTAGGAAGACTGTCACGTACTTCATCCACCAACCACCTATATCAAAACCCAAGCACAAACATGGTTATTGCCAATTATCTCCATTAATAAACACGTTCATAAATGTAAGGGGATTCAGATTATTATTAGATGTTGGACCCACGAACCAACGATAAGATGCATGTCTGTCAAAGAATGCAGTTAGTGTGATATCAAACAAGAAAGTACACACCAAGTCACTAATGAACAACAGAACAAGCACGTAAAATATATATGCATCGATGTCACATTCATCATGTTGATTGAAGTAGCATGAAATATATACATGGCCATTGCAAATGAAAACTTGTAAAGAGGGAATATGGCAAACATATAGTAAAAGAAACACATACATCCGTATCCAATACAAAGAAGTAGGACATTAATGTCTGCACATAAAGTGATGATGATGGATTAGTTTTCACAATCAATTCAGTAAGCTAAAACATATAAACCTGTAATCAAATGAAGGGAAGAGCCAATGCAAAGTGTTCACAATCAATTCCACTGTTGCATAATCTGCATCTGCGGTATCTGTCATGTGCATATGTTGTACCTGAAACAAGGATACACTATCAAATGAGGAAAATCGATGTTCCAACTCTCCATTAAATAACATGAGTCAAGTCTTCCATGCAGAACATAAATAAGTGTGAGCAACAGGAAGAGTTTGAAACCTTCACAGCAACTTTTTCTCCCTGATGAGTGCGAGCAACATGAACTTGAGCAAGGGAAGCACTCGCAATAGGGACAGGATCAAACTCATCAAATATCTGTGCAAGGAAACACTTCACTCAATTTTATGACTCGAAATAACCAGAAAAAAAAAGTAAGAGTTTACATTGAGATTGGAAAAGCAAGCATTAAATTTGATGCCCATGTCGCAAATGAAGATATCATTGGGAGATAATACAGTAAATATGCATACTTCTTCAGGTGCCCCACCAAGCTCGTTCTTGACAACTTGGCACACTTGATCGTAGGAAGAAGTTGGACATCTATTCAACATCGACTCCCTCAATGTATTAATGTACTCTTGAGGTACCAAATATTCCTACATTACATATTATAAAAATCCAACCTTCAGATAACAAACTGAATTCTTTATATCTATCATGGGTATCCATGAGAAGGAGCAGGTCCTACCAGTTGGCCTATATATTGACCAAGCTTGATATATATTCCACCATTTTTGAAACAGAGTTGTTCAATTCTACGTGCACTCCTGGTGTGGACTTCACGCTTAACTCTTGTCCTCTCAATGCTATCTTCTGGCAGTCCCAATAGTGAATACTCATAATCTAAAAACAAATCAATATTTACTCTTTTAGAATGAACTAAAAAATAGTGAAGTCTTTTGAATTTTATAGAAAACACTGCAGATTGAACATCAATTTATGACAATAGGTAAATAAAAAAAATTAATAAATAATATAATGTTCATTATCACTCTTTAGGACTAGAAACTGAATTTTGAAATCCCCCAAGTTCATTTAAACAAATAAATGGACCAGTAAACTTTAACCATGTATAAACATCAAGGCCTCAAAAGCCACTGATGAACAGGCATGAAATAATAAATCAATTGGTTATAACCTAACTAAACCAAAGTATGTTTAAATGTGTGTGTTTGGGAGGGGAGATGACCCAACCCCACTCGTTTCCATCCAACTTTCAAGTATAAAATGGATGTTTCGTCTAAATATATGATATCAAATTAGGCCGACCATATTATGCCAATACCTAAAGTAACCTGATAGGAAGTGAAAATTGAATCACATGGAAAGGTTAATCTATTTTGGAGTTATAGTTTGATCCTTTGACAATTGACATCAAACCTATTGTCGCTGGATCACGATCTTGAAAAAAAAAATCAGACCAGAAAGACTTTTAGCTGCAATACTTGTGATGAACTCTAATTAAACGGTGGGATTAATTTACTGAAGGGCCCAAACACTCTAATCGGGAAACACCATTTCAAAATTGATTCAAAGATCCGTATCACATGTAATTTCAATAACAGAAGTGCACATACACAGGAAATAGCAACAGTCGCATAACAAACATAATTTCAACGACTTCCTCACGCTTGAAGTTCTCTGAAGTAGAATTCAAGAATAAGATTGGGGTTAATTAAGGAAACTTACCGAAAGCAATGGTGGCAGCAGTGAGGGAGAGGCGAAAGAGGCGGACGGGGACAGTGGTACAAACCTTGAGGGAAGTGGCAGGATCATCGGATTTAGCAATGGCCACGGCACCAGTTCCGGCGCTCAAGGCGGTGGCGGCAAATGCGAACTTCGATTTAGCCCCCCAAATAGATCGTGCCACCACCATGTTTGGTTGTTCCCAAGTATGTTTCCCGGGAATAAAGGGAATCAAACGTGGCGGTGGCGGTGGCGGTGGCGGTGGCGGTAGGGGGTGGGCCGCCCTTTTTGTTCGACGCGATAGTCGAACCCTTTTTGTGGTTAATTTTGCTCCGCATAGGCAACGGCTAAAATCTATTGAAATTAGGATCCATCCTTCTACCTAAATTCTACCTAAAATTAATACAATCCTTCCACAGGACGGAGGTGTATATAAATATTGGTAAATTAATATAATATTTTATTTTATTTTTATAAATATTTTTTGACAAAACCTCTTAAAATCATTTTTTTGGATGAATATTATATATTGATACATATTACTTAAAATTCAAGATTACAAATAAATTATATATAAATACAACTTATTAAAACTTTATTTTTGAATTCGTGTAACTAATTGCAGATAACCAAAATCAAATTCAAAATAAATATCTCATTTTAAATATGAAAAATCTAAAATATAATTACGAAAATTATTGAATTTCTAAGAGAATACAATATTGTTATCCTTAAAGAAAATTATATTATTAAATCAAAATTAAATTACTTTATTATTAAATCTAAATTAAATTTAAATAAAAAAATTATATAAAAACCAGAATTTTAAAATAGTTAATTTAACACTAATATTGGTATATTTTTTTCAATTTTTATGATATATTCAAAAAGCCTAAAGATCTTTCCTCTTGTCGCTGGAGCTCTTGATAGCACATTCAAGCAAGTTTATGAATGAATGGAATCAGTTGAAGGAGCGGCCAAGGATGAAAGCTTTGATTGCGCTCTGTTGTGGTTGGCTTTTTCCTTGCCTAGCGAACATAGAGAGAATCCTCTTTGTATGTGCGTTATCTCTTGTTTATTCTTCTAGTTGGTGCTTCTTATGCTTATGAAAAACTGTGTGATACTCTATTTCTTCTTGGGTTGTCTGTAAATGTAGTTCATGGTTCACGGGTGAGGTTACCTGGATAGGCTGGCAGTTCCTTATGTATCAGGGCTCAAGTGATTCACCGAAGCAACGAAACATTAGGATTCAGCTAGGGATGAAACAGCAGAAGCCAAATTGGTGGTGGCTTATAACCTCATCATCATAGTTCTCTAGGCTGATGAGTTTGAGCTATGACTATGAGTTATGGAGTCTTATGTAGTAATGTACAGTTGATTCTAAAATAACAATAAAGAAAGACAAGAAGCATGGAAAACATAGATGCATGTGTGTCAATGAAGTTGCTTAACTTATATTATATAACACAAAGCAGCATGGATCAGGGAAAGAGACTGAAAGCCGAAGAATACACTAAAATGGGTAGAGAAAAGAAAGACTGAACGCAAATGATCCAGCATCGTGCTTCCCCGTCCAGAGAGTGAAAGCTCTACGAATCTGCAATATCCACAAGGCTACCTGCATTATGCCAAACCGGGCTTCTAGCGAAATCTCCTCCAACCAGATATGTAGTAAGCTAAAGAGGGATTTCGCATGTGATAACTTCTCATCAATAAGTGCCTCCGAAGAAACTCTTCCAATAATGATAAAAGACTCCACAGAAAGTCTTTGTACCTGGTACCAGATTATGATCAAAATGTCAAACGGCCCATAAACATTTATGGGATGAAGTCAAAAGCTGACTTAAATCTTGGACTAAGGCTGTCAAATGTTCAAGTATACCAGTGCATTATTTACTGCACGCAAGCAATCATTCGTTTTCAGCATTAAAAGAATGACACGAGGCAGTTTATGCAGAAGCTCTGTGATTTGAGGAAAATAGAGGGAAGCATACATCTGCAAAACAAGACATAAGTTATCGGTCAACAACAGAGCAGATGCAGACAGTTGGTACGGTAAATCTACCTTCGCTCTTTTAAGAAAATGATTATTAACCTCATAGGACATGGAAAGACAAATATCGAGTCCAAAAACAATGAAAGCGGAAAGCTTCGTCTGATTTGATGAGGTGGCTTTTAATAGTAAGCTCACCTGAAGTTCTGAATGATCACTGGCATTGCCTTGCATAGTCAGATGATCAACAGTCGGATCAATAACCCTATTCCAAGGCCTCATGGTAAGAATCCCTGCAAACAGTGCGTACAGATCCTCTCCAGAACCCAATTTCAAGCAGTTTTCTTTTATTGCATTGGCATCAGCCAGTACCAAAGCCTGTAAGGAAGTCCCACGGTTCAGTTGTCAATGATGTCGCATGCAGATTGGCAGACAATTTGCAAAAATGGGCAACTTCACAGAAGTCTAAGCTAAAGTGGGCATGAAGAAAAGGTATAAACAGACGACATAGAAGGCCTTTAACATTCAAGAAATTGAAATGTGCACCTTCCAGAGAGCAGCATAGTTGGTCCTGGTAGAAATGTCGAGTTCTTTGTACAGACCATTATCCAGCAGTACCAATTGTGGTTTTCTTCTTCCTGTATACAAAGAAACAGCATCAATGATGAAAATGCAACTGCAGGGAGAGATAAACAAAATCATATTGTCGAAGTTAATTTACCTCCATATCAAATTAGCATAACAAGAAACCTATGTATGTAAGAGAAACTAGCTAATAAGATTAAAAGATCTTAAATAAAAACATGGAATAACAAAGTATGATCCCCAAGTGTCTTTTTTAGCAATTAGATAAGGCCTTACCAAAAATGCCACGTTTGTGAGAAGGCATTATACGAACTAGCAAGTTAGCAGCGTGCACATCACAATGCACACATCCATGTTTGAACATCATTTCAGCAAACGTTTGAGAGACCTGTGTTGTGTAAAACAAAGCTCTAACAATAGATATTCAACAGCCACGCAACATGTAACATATAATGCAGTATGGAGAAAATGAACTTACTAGCCTTGCAATGTCATGTGGTTCGATTCCAAGTCTTTGGATGCTCTTTAAATCATTCACTTGTGCACCGTCCACAAACTCCATGGTCAACAATTTTGTGGTACTTAAGTTCCAATATACCACAGGGGCATAAACATAGTCTGCAATATGAGGAGATAACCTTCGAAAGTTATCCATACATTTTACGTTGTTCTTGGCCTCAATTAAGAAATCTAGTTCCTGATAAGCATCATTGGAGCTTAATTATGTAAAGGAACACGGAAGATCGGACTGTTAAAAGATTGTGGCATGCCTATTCAAGATGCAACAGGATATCATGACAATCTGAGATCAAAATTTTGAATCTAACCCGAGGTAGACAGTCGCGTACTTCATCCACCAACCACCTGTAATCAAATGAAGGGAAGAGCCGATGCAAAGTGTTGACAATCAATTCCACTGTCGCATAATCCGCGTCTGCAGTATCTGTCATGTGCATATGTTGTACCTAAAAAAAGGATACACTATCAAATGAGGAACAACGATGTTCCAAATCTCCACCAAATAACAGGAGTCACGTCTTCCATGCAAAACCTAAATAAGCGTGAGCAACAGTAAGAGTTTGAAACCTTCACAGCAACTTTTTCTCCCTGATGAGTGCGAGCAACATGAACTTGAGCAACAGAAGCACTCGCAATAGGGACAGGGTCAAACTCATCAAATATCTGTGTAAGAAAGGAAGCATTAAATTTGATGTTCATGTTGCAAATGAAGATATCCTAACACAATAAATATACATACCTCTTCAGGTTCCCCACCAAGCTCTTTCTTGACAACTTGACACACTTGATCGTAGGAAGAAGTCGGACATCTATTCAGCATCGACTCCCTCAATGTATTAATGTACTCTTGAGGTACCAAATATTCCTAAACCAGAAAATCCCATTCAGCTCAACCATGAAGATATGCTTTATGCATAACATTATGTAGTATAAAAATCCAATCTTTGAATATCAAACTGAATTCTTTATATCTATCATGGGTATATCCATGAGAAGGGGCAGGTCCTACCAGTTGACCTATATATTGACCAAGCTTGATATATATTCCACCATTTTTGAAACAGAGTTGTTCAAGCCTACGTGCACCCCTGGTGTGAACTTCACGTTTAACTCTTGTCCTCTCAATGCTATCTTCTGGCAGTCCCGATAGTGAATACTCATAATCTAAAAGCACATCAATAGTTCTCTCTTTTAGAATGAAGTAAAAAATAGTGAAGTCATTTGAATTTTATAGAAAACACAGCAGATTGCATCGATTTATGACAAAAGGATTAATAATGTTTATTATCACTTTTTGGGTATCAAAACTGAATTTTGAAATCCCACAAGTTCATTTAAGCAAATAAATGGACCAGAGAACTTTACACCATGGATAAACATCAAGGCCTCAAAAGCCACTGATGAACAGGCATGAAACAAAGTATGTTTGGATGCATGTGTTTGGGAGGGGAGATGTGTTGATTTTGGGGTACTTAAAATTGGCTAGAACCGATCCTACTTATTGCTTTCAAGGCGAGTAAACTCTCTATCCTTAAGCAATTTCACCCACAGTGTAGGTGCTTTGGGATTTGACGAATTGCCTCTCAATATAAAATGAAGCACCGTTTGTAGAAGGATTATTAACACTGCACTAGTTCGGAAAATCATGGATAAACTATTGAGTAAGCAATGATTTCTTGAAGCCTATAAAGTGTAATTTTATAGCAGGACACTTTTAGGATAATATGGTACGAGAGGGATGTGTTTTGGGTGTTTATAGGTAGCTAATAGCTATATATAGGTATAAATGACAGCCCTTTGAAGTGTCATGAATTGGCAGTTTTGTGATGGTTTGAACCGTATGCAGTAACTGTCACTATTGGTGACGCTTCAAAACGTCGCAAACTGTTCAATAGAACCATCGTAATGGTTAGCCATGCAAACAAGTGTCACATATACATGAATCGCCATGATTGCTTTTTAACACACTCACTTAAATTTGTCGCACTTGTTTGGTGCGTCATTAATGAGACTGTCAAAATTTTAAATATAGAAAAATGGGTCTCATATCTACTCACGCTTCAAGTTCAGAAGTCGAATTCAACAATAAAATCTAAGGAAAGTTACCCAAAGCAATGGTGGCAGCAGTGAGGGAGAGACGAAAGAGGCGGACAGGGACAGTGGTACAAATCTTGAGGGAAGTGGCAGGATCGTCGGATTTAACAATGGCCACGGCACCAGCTCCGACGCCCAAGGCGGTGGCAGCAAATGCGAACTTCGATTTAGCCCCCCAAATAGATCGTGCCACCACCATCTTTGGTTTTCCTCAATATGTTTTCCGGGAATAAATGGAAGCAAAAGTGGGCGTGGAGGTGGAGGCAGGGGGTGGGCCGGCCTCCTGCCTTATTTGCTCGACACGATACAGACTGAGTAGTCGTACAGTTTATTTTGCCTCCCATGGCAACGGCTAGAATCTATCCATGAATTCTACCAAATAAACAATACAATTTCTTATTATCTTAATTGCATACCTAATGCATTGATTTCACTCGTTTTCCACGTCCTAATAAAATTCATTTTTTATCATTTACTAAATGCTTACTCAGTTAAGTGAACATCAAGTCATTTTACCTTACCGGATGAATATGGTAAGAATCAAGAATCTTATCCGGTAAGAACGAGACAAGGACCAAAAGTGTTACCCAGTAAGTGAAGACGACGACTCTTACCACGGTAAGCGCTTACCGGGTAAATTGTTGCATACGATACCGTTTGGTGGACTAGAATCTTATTAGGTAAGTAAATGATAGTGTTAAATTTACCGGTAAGCGCTTACCGGGTAAGTATTTGGTAAACGGCTCTTAAATCGATTGCAATTTACTGTTTCTTCTTTCAATGCATAATTTAATATGATTATGGGACCGTTTATCAAAACTTATTGTTTCTTCTTTCAATGCTATTTACTGTTTTTCTTTCAACATTAAAACTTATTTTTGTATTTTCAAATACATAATTTAATATGATTATGATCTTAAAAAAGTACATGTAACATCATTATCTTTTTACCGTCCAACAAGGATAAAATTGGAATAGTTTTTGTTAGGAGAGGGTGATGACCGAGCCGAAGCTCTTTTCCTAACATTCTTTCCTTTTGCCGTTCAAAAAAAAAAGATGAGGAAAGGGGATAGAGTCATCTGGGTCAACGATGTAATTTCCAATTGTGATAAAATTGGAATATCCCTTTTTTACAGACCCGCCAAATCTTTCGGTACGATTTTTATTTGAATCAAAAGATTCGTAAACAATTTCTAAACTAACTAGAAGGTACTCGTGCAATGCATCGAGACATATTTTCATTTCAATGTTTCGTTTTATTTTTTATCCATGTCGATATAATACGATTTTATATGGTTTTGAAAAAGAGATAATGTTTCTATTTTTAAATAAAATATAAATTTAAAAATATTATATAAAATTTGCAAAAAAATATCAATATAATATCAAATTAACTATTTAAAAGTTTTTGTTTATGTATTTTGTTTAATTCAAATTTTTTATTATAATTTTATTTAATGTAACGAAGTAACTTACTTTAGGCTTAATAATATATTTTTTATAAAGACTAGAAAAGTACTCGCGCAATGCAGCGAAACACATCTATATTTTAATGTGCTATTTTATTATTTGTCTCTGTCGAAGTTATAATAAGATTTTATGTGTTTTTAATAAAGCAATAATTATTTTATTTTTGAATAAAATATAAATTTGAAGATATCATAAAAATTTTAAAAAAATATATAAATGTTAATATCAAATCAACTATTTAAAAGTTCTCTATTTTTTTATGTAATTTCTTTAATTTTTTTAATATAATTTAATTTAAGTTTAATAACGAAATAACTTATTTTTGATTTAATAATATAACATTTTATAAAAAAAATAATTAAGTATTTTGTTAGAACTCAATGATTATCTTAATTATATTTTAGATTTTTTTATATTCAAAATGAGATGTTTATCTACAGTTAGTTACACGAATTCAGATATAAAGCTTTAATAAGTTGTACTTATACACAATTTACTTGTAATCTTGAGTTTTAAATAATATGCATTAATAAACAGTAGTTTACGTATAAAAAATGGTTTTTAAGAGTATTTGTTAAATGTTTTATAATATATTATAGATAACTAGTTATGTACCCACACAATGCAGCAGGAGCCGTGAATTTTAACGATTTTAAAGTTTCATTGATTTTATTAGAGAAGATTTAACAATGAAATAAGTTACATATGGTCTTTACATATTAATACAATTTGAATAAATAAGCGTTATGATTCCAATTACAATCTATCAATGAAAAAAAATTATGATAGTTTAAAATCCAACATATTTAAACGACTCTACAAATGAGTTCAATTTACACCAAGAGCAAATAATCAAGAGATCAAGACCGAGAGTTCTAACGCAATTGTAGATTAAGAGATTTTTTTTAGCCAAGCATGCTCATATGTACATAAATCTTAATAAAAATAAAAAATTATCAATCTCGATCTTATAAACGAGTTAATTGATTGAAAAGGTTCGATATTTCAATAAATGTTCGAGCTCATATATTGAAAAGGTCATTTGACTCGAGCCTGGTATTTTTTTTCTGAGCCCGACTCGAATAACCTACTCTTTGAGACTATAATGTAAGTGGTGTATGAGAAGCAACACAAAGGCTAACCTTTTGCAGACGCAGAACAACGAAAGGTACAAAATTCAGTAAGTAAAGAAAAAATGTTTTCTTAAACGTAGCTGATGATGCATACGCGCTATGAGCCAAACATGATTTTGTGCCTAGGTGAATTACTGAACAAGGTATGATAGAAGGAAACTCTTGCAATGAAGGAAAAATTGGCAACCTCCACAGTTGATAAGAAGAGAGCAATGCAATATCTACTGGGGACCCTCTACAGCAACCCTTGACAGCCTTGTATACAGGGCTGAGCAACGGGACCAGTTTTCTGAATAAAATCTTGATATGGTTTTGGCAAGCTCTCAGGACGCATTACGAAAGCATACATGACCTGCAATGGTTAATGAAAAGTATAAATGTAGATTCATTTGTTATTATACCGTTTACAAGGCAAAATTCGAACTTATCAGAGTTAATTAGAGTTAGGATTGTAATAGTTTCATAAACATCATAGAGATTTTCGATTTGTCTAGAAATGTTACATTAAAAGGTCATACTTGAAACAACTATTTGAATCTATATGGAAAAAATAAAATAAGATGATCATATGAACCTCGATTTATTGCAACTTCAAAAATCTGGGGTAAAATAGTGATCCATGTTACCGGAGCACATGATAAAGCAAAAAGTAAAGAATCCCCATGTCTCCATGAGCTTCCCCATAGGTGGAACTTCTTCGATTTTGCAAAATTGTAAGCACACTTTAAACAACAAAGAACTTAGAGCATTTTTTTAGAACCCTCCCCCTTTTGTTTGGAGTTGAAAAAAATAGAAGATTTTGCTTTAAAAGTATGTCTAAAAGCCAAAATTGCAAATTTAAGTTTGTGTAGGATCACAACATTGCAAATAGAAGATCTAAGTTTTGCAACACCAACCAAATTGCCAAACAAAACTCTGAACTGCTTCTTATATGACAAACATTGGTTCCATAGCAAGTTAATTATGTACCTGAGCAAGCCTACCAAGAAGATATAAAGCAAGTGTTCACCTCCGGTTGCAATCATCTAATGAAAGAATAGACAAACCTGCGATTGAACCTGTTAAAATTCTGCTCCATCATCACCTTTAACAAAGTCATATATGTGAAATAGATACATTAGGATCAAATATTTTTACAGAAGTAGATAAATTTATTTTACTCTATGCTTAATCTCAGGAATATAAACCTTTATCAACAAAAAGCATGTATAGACAATAATGTTATCACTTAGTACACATTGTCATAACACTGGAAGGCTCCAGTTCCAGGGAATTTCATATTCCGTCTTTCTCTGGGTAATATGGGTATCGAAGCTCTTCGGCTCGACCCATTCCAACTTGAATTTCCTATATAAACATAGAATCCCTACATGCCAAATTAAAATATATAATAGCCAAAAATAAATCATCAAGCACCCTGTATATGCTTGTATCCCACATACAACTTAAGTTTAGAATATTTGGGCACCTAAAATCTGAAGTACAAAAATAAGGGGCCGTTTATTAAACGGTTACCCGTTAAGTGTTTACTGGGTAATTTTTTCTTACCGGATGAACATTGCAAGAGTCAAAATTCTTACCCGATAAGAGCAATGATAATTGATAAAGATGAAGAGTCTTACTCGGTAAGTGAGGGTGACAACACTTACCCGGGTAAGCACTTACCGGGTAAATTGTTGATATGATACCATTTTGATGTACTGCAATCCTACCCGGTAAAATAAATTACAATGTTAACTCCTAAGGGTAAGCGCTTACCAGGTAAACATTTAGGTAAACGGCCCCTAAGATTCACTAATTTTTTTTTATCACATATAGCTCTTTCAAGTTTGAACCTTTAAGCTATTAACATGTGAGACTGATCTTTAACTGCTTATCCTAAAGGCTCAAAAGCAATGGAAGCTCAAAAAACCAAAAATAAAAAACTAATCCAACCATCTTCTGGTCATAATCAAAAGCAATGTTAAGACTCTCTCTCCCCCCCAAACAACACAAGCTACAACTATTAAGATACATCACATCAAAGAGCATTTGAAGTAATATTTGGTCCAAACAACTTATTGTTCGCACTGTTTGGTTCTACTTGCAGTCCAATGGTTTTGTTTTAGATGCTAAGCAATCTCAAAGTATCCAATGGTGGTTAGAAAAAAGAAGATATAATCGTCAAAGACATCAAACAAACACTCAACAAATGAATAAACTTCAAAATTCAAAATTTACAAAGATATTGAAAACCCCAAATTCATTTTACAACAAAATAAAACGAAGGTGGTTTGGAAAAGAATAATACCCCTTGAAGCTTCGGTATCCATAAATCTATATCAATCTAGTGATATATCAAACACTCTTTTCTGTAAAATGTAGAACCAAAAACAACACTTAGGTCATTCCATTTAAAACTCAAAATCAAATCGTGAATAAACCAAGAATTAGAGGAAGGGGATAAGTAACTTATATTCGAATTCGTTTGAGGGCAAAAGAGGTGGTTACTGGTGTAATCGTCTCAAGGAAAGAGAATGGGCAATCCCCCCTGTGACAAACATAACACCACAAAAAACACAATATTGGTTTGCACTATGAAATTAACAAATTGATAAACATACAGTAGTATAATACCCCAATTTTGCAGTCTCCTGGTTTTCAAAGACTTCCATTTCGAAACTGCAGCTGTGTAAATCTACAAAAGCCCTTGTTTGAGTTAGAGAAATAAAGGATTAGCCAGCTACATAGTTGGTCTCAATTTCGAAGTGAAAATTTATACTATTCTGATTTCTGGATACGCTAATGAACAAAAAGGAATAGGAGACAAAACAACAACAAAGAGTAGAAGATGCAAGAAATCGACAATCACTAAACCATGTAAAAAATCTTGAATCATGAGAATTGAAAATTGCAAGAAATAGGGAAATTTTAATCCTGCAAAATGGGGCTATGACCAAAACAAAAAAATAAATGAACAATTGAAAAAAAAACTTGCTAATCAGTTGCAACCGAAGACCCAAAAGAGAACACGTTTCTAAGTTAATCCCAGAGATCCACCAAGCAAGATATGAAATTGATTACATACTAAATCCCTCTGAGGCATTTCCTCAAACACCTTAGGTGCACATTCGCCACAAATCGAAAAAAGAAACCCATACCTCAAATCGATAGCCAAATCCATACCTTAAATTGATAGAAAGAGTATGAATCGAGAAAAATACACAAAATTTAGAATTAACAATAGTATGAAACGATAGAAAACTACACAAAACCATTAATTGAATATTTACCTGAATCAAGAGTATCAAGCTAGAGCATGAAGCAATATAGGATGAATCGAGAGTATGGAGCGACATAGGAAGACTGAGAGCGATACACATCACTAAAAACCCTGTATCGAAAGGATGAAGCGTCGTCTTGGAGGCCTCAATCGTCTTCTTGGAAATAAGCGTGAGCGTGTAGAAGGACTGTCACTGATATGTGTGAAGAGTTTATCTATAAGACGTACGAGATTCGACGGAGAGGTTGAGGCCATAAGGGGAGGGGGGTTATACTTATCGAGATTAAATCGATTCTGTATTCTCGAAAATCGGTCGGTGATGAAATCGAATCCGTATTCTTTAAAATCTGTTGGCGATGAAATCGGATAGGGTTGAAATCGTTTCTGTTGGCGATAAAATAGGATAGGAATAAAATTGGATAGGGATGAAATCGTTTAGGGTTTTGGAATGACTTTAATATGTTGTACCATTAGCAATAGAGGTTGTCTTTAAGAGTTTATAAAATTTTAAGAGTTTTAATCAAATGCATTATAAGATACTAGAAGAGTACTCGAGCAATGCAGCGAGACACATCTTAATTTTAATGTTCTATTTTATTCTTTGTCTCTATCGATGTTATAATACGATTTTATGCGTTTTAAAGAAAACAATAATGATTTTATTTTTGAATAATATATAAATTTGAAGATATCATAAAAATTTGAAAAAAATTATATCAATTT